TATGAGTAACATATCTAATTATTTACTATATTTATCTAATATTCCTATATTTATCAGTTTTTCATAGAAATTTTCAGACATATTTCAGATATAAAAAACAATATAATAAACTGTTATACATTTCATCTTAAATTCAAGGTACCATATAATTTCATCCAAAAATGCTTCAGTATCTATATCTCAAAGATAAAGATCTTAATAAATCATATGCCATCTGAAAATATGATTATTTTTAATATAATCATAAACCAGTCTGTTAAAAATGTTACCATGTCTCCTAAATGATTTATTTTACAACTGGCTTGACTCAAGATGCAGTAGCGCTTAGAGATTTGGTTGATCTGTCATTTAAATTTCCCTTAACATATAGTTTCCTTTTACTCTTTTTTTCATGTCATTTATTCAATTATTAAATCATTTTTTCCCTAATATTTCTCTCATTCTGGATCCTGTTCATCGAAATTTTATGGACTATCAACTGGTAACCAGAGAAGTTTGACACAGACTAGATTTGACATTTTGGCAAGAAGGTTGTACAGATGATGTATTTCCTATTGCATCACATCATGAGGCATATGTTGTTTCTTTTTTGTTGTAAGATTTACCAATAGATCCAAGTGTGTCAGCCTTTACCACTTAGTAAGTTCTGCAGCAGTCTTGCATGAACCTTGTAACAGCCACTGATAATCCCCATGTCCACTGTTTTATTAGGGATTATAAAATGCATTATGTTAGTGCCATCAGTCCGCTTTCATTTTTCTAAAAGCTAGAATTCGTCTATAAAGAAAAACCTTTCCTGTATAAACTAGCTACTCTGTATTTTATAAAACAGACAACTTCGATTCTTAGATAACTGAACTGATTTCTTCCTTTCTTTTACTATATTCAGTTAAACTTCACGTGTAATGCAAATGTTACCAATAAAACATTCCATTGTTTTAAGAAAATAAAGTAAAATACATCTTTACTCACATCATCTTTATAATTAAAATAATACATGCCTTTAATAACATAAAAAGATTTAAACCTTATTCTTTGGGATAAATTCCTCTCAGGTTACTGTAAATTCAATACAGTTATATAAAAATTATGATATTCTGCAATTAAAATTCTGTGATAATGTACTTCTTGCTATTTCTTGCTACTTACTATAACTAAGGCTGGAATTATCCACACTATATTTTTCTAAAATTCTAATAAATGAAAACTTACTTCAGAGGGCAATCCTTTAGGATAAGAGTGATTTTCTTATCATTTCAAGGATCTACTAACATTTATGTATATTCTTGTGCATTTCCAAAGGAGAGCAAAAGATCACTTTAATCCTGAGTATGAGTGAAACAAACCTTCAAAGATAAGTGCATCTCAATAAAACCAGAATCAACACAGAGTTCACTTCTGAGGCTGATTTCAGGTTCTTTTCATCAAACCACTAAGTGCTTATTCAAAATCTGTTATTCTCCTTGATAATTCAAGAATGATTTAAACAAGTTAATATCAACAGGTCCATTATAACAAAAGCTCTTTGAAAATGTTAATATTTAAGGAAACAGTGAATGCTGAAATCAAAGTGAGCTGAATAAGAACAAGAATGTAGGGCCTGGGATTTAGCTTAGTGGTTCCAACACCTGCCTCGCAAGCGCAAGGTCCTAAATTTAATCCCCAGTATCAAAAAAAAAAAAAAAGTAAATCTTCCAGCCATAATAATTTTCAGAATTCTTTATTCTGATGTAATACTAATGACATGAGGTGTATAGTGGCATTAATAGTGAATCAAACACTCTGAGAAAATACTTGTCATATATTATTCTGAAATAAATTTGTATCCCTGTCCTCACAGCAATACTACCTCTATATAAATATCTCCCCTTATGATAAATAAAAATAAAAACAGAATTAACATACCTAATTTCATAATTTTTCAAGTTTCCTAGATATCCTGGGCTAAGAAATAATGACACTGTGGACTGTAAAATCCTTTTCTTCCTACTCTTCACTGGCTTGGCGGCCCAGGCCTATAAGAAAAAATAATGAACTAGAAATATATATCAACCCAATAAAGTGTTGCTTAAGGCAAGATGATTTAGAGAGCAAACAAACAGTAATTTGTTAGGAAGGAAGGTTTTTTGGGGGTCCTTATCAAAGTCAAGGAATCCATGGTTTTGTTTGTTTTGCAATTCTTAGATGCTCATATTTTTTCAGGGATCAACCAAGGTGCTCTGTGACTAGATGGAAATTGCTCCATGTTAGGCCTGATCTGGCCATGACATGGTTAATGGATATGTTGTTTGATCCAAGCTACAGTTTAACAGACACAAAAAAACGCAGCCCCCAGAAAAACATGCCACAGATGCAGGTTGTGCTGTCTCCCCCAACACAGGCTGTGTTGTTTCTGAGCAGATAGAACACAGAATGGGATGTTACAGAAAAGAGATGAGACTACAAAGTACAGTATAACATCTTCCTGGTGCCAAGTTACCTGATAACATCCATACACCCGCCTTGACTTCTGAATGGACCCCGACCACAAATACCTGCTCTGACCCCTGTATGTGCCAGATGTGCCAGACCCCTCTCTCAATCCCCTATAAAGCTCCCTGCTCTTTCTTTGTTCATCACTGACATCCTCTTGTTGCCCTCAGTCGATCTGCACCCAGGTGAATAAAGTCTGTGCCTCACTGCCTTTCACTAGCTTGCTTGGGTGGTCTCATTCCTCTACTGTTTGTCACACTCCACATTTTCAGAAATAAGCTAAAATTTTAGGCTGTTCAGTGAAACTGCTTTCATCAACACCATGGTGCTCTGGGTTTGAAAAATGCATTTTGAGAAGAAAAGTTGGAAGCACTTGGTAATTTGGTTTCCACACACCAGCTCTCACTAATTATGACTGCTCTTAGGACAAATGACTAGAAGTAGTTTTCTGCTTCATTGCAGCAATCCCTTTTCATGACTGGTCCAGCATTTGCCACTCCAATATCAAGATTCCCATGCTTGGACAGAAAACACAGAGATGTCTGAAAATTCCTTCTATCTCTTCCATTCATCAAGAAAGGCTGAGACTCTAGGGAAGGTATCCTGGATCTATGATTCTCGGCTTGTTATAAAATGAGAAGTTTTAAGCAAATTAACTTTCATTTAAGTTGCATAAATTTAGATCCAGTCCTTCTCCCTGTCCCTCCTGTTTCAGTAGTTATGAAATATTTTATGAAAACAAGAGAAAACAAGATATATATGATAAAATAATTTTACCAAGTAAACTTTTTGATATTGCTGTGAAAGGTGGTAATGTTTTTATACTGACTATAAAACCAACCTCCAATTTTAAGGAGTTAAAGTTTATTCTAGCAAAAGTACAATAAAAAGTCTACCTCTTTTCCCACTTCCCTGCTTTTCCAGTAGAGCTTTCAGAGATGTAATGTAAAGTCTATCACAAGAAAACATGCAACTGGAATACTTTAATGCTCTTTCACATAGTTATGCTTTTGAATGTCAGAAAACATTTTAGAACATTATTATTTAATCCCTAAGATTGTTTAGTGACAAACTTTAAAAAGGTCTGACTGTATTTTTTTGATATTATTACAGCTCTTATTTCCAAAAAATTCTGAATAAACTTCTTTAATTAAAAAGTTCAAGGGTACTGAAAAGCACCAGTCTCAAATGCAATTTACAGTGTCTTAAAAAGCAGATGAAACTTTCTATACAACAAAGATTCCGAGAGTCTCAAAGAGTTTACACTTACGTTCTATATGAAAAATGTATCTGGATAAGGCAGTATGAGAAGTAGCATGGTAGAATATTTAAGGCAGGCAAGCAGGCAGGCAGGCAGGCAGACAGACAGACACACACGCACGCTCGCACACGCACACACACACACAACACACACACTTTAATCCTAAAAGTTTATCTAGAAAAATAGCAAGCATTCTTGACAATGATAATTTAAAGACATCACAGAAACAGATTAAGAGGCTCATCATTGACTTCTACATATATTTTATCATCTACTATATTTACCTATACAGTATTTTAAATTTAGTAACATAGTTCATATTTAAGAAAATTTATAACACTAAAAAACTCATGAATATATTTGTAACCTAGTTTACAATGAAATGTATGGAAGTCATTTATAATATTTAGAGCAGTGAGTTTTAATCACAAAAGTAATAAAGTCTAGATCTTAAATTGGCGCCCATCTTTGAATATATTCTACTCAAGTTTTTCCTTAAAGTTCATAATACCCATGAATGCAAACACAGTTAATTGAAAAGTATGTTATGAATGTTATAAACAGTCGAGAATCAAAAAAGAAACAATCTATGAGACTAAATTTAATTATCTGTATTAAAAGTTTGTTGAAAATGGAAAGCTCATGTAACAAAGGACTTAATCTTCATAGTCTTATGCGTGAATTCATGAACTGAATTCTATGAGGTATCACTGAATATTTATATTGAAACTAGTCCACATATTATAACAGAATCTGCATTATACACAGGAGCTTCAAATTTCAATTACGGTTCTCTAGACACTTTCTAAATATTTATGTATCCCAGTATTCAATACAGTAAAATAAAATGACTATATTAAATTTAAGTTTTTAAAAGGGTGTTTTAAAAGGAATACATATGAAAAATGTAGAACAACAAAAATAGATTTATATTGAAATCAGTTTATTACCTCATTGCCTGAGGCAAATGATTGTTCCCTAGTACTTCAGTCTATACCATAATTTTTTGTTTATAAAATTTTTAAAAATACGTTAATATTTTGAAACAAACTACAAGTGTAAGTTGAAACAAGTCTGTATTATTATACAAAAAGGTCTCACCATTGTAGTTTTGTTCTGTTGTTATCACTTAGGGTGAGAAGCCCTAGAAAACATCACAAATTTTACATAATTCAGAGAAATTACTATTTATTTGTTGACAGAAAAAAGGGCATAAGGAACACTGAAGCAAACAGAAAGGCTGCCAGCAAAGGCTGAGATTTCTTACTTTTCTCAATATGAATGGCACACGAGCTGCTACTATTCCAAGCAGTTGTGAACCTGTAGGCTAGGAAGGGAGTGGAATTTAGTCTGTGGAATATGTATACTCTTTCATGTACTTGCATATATTCTCATACACTTTAAAACATGTATCATGCAATGTCTTTAAAAAATATCATACAAAAATTATATAAGTTACACAGAGTTAACTAGTAAATACCATTTTCAAGAAACATTTTGGTGCTTCCATTCTGGGGAAAATGTGAAAGATTAAAATTTACAGAAAGCAAGGCAAAGGTAGATAGGGGAGGTTCCAGCTAAAATGGAGTGAATAAAATCGCATGCAGTAGGACATAGTCATAGTTTCAACTAGTTCTTAGCCAGTCAAATCTTGTCAAAGCATAAAAGAGCAGCATTCCATATTCTACCTCCTGATTTTTCAATCTATGAAAGTAAATTACTGTGCTTTTTTAGTCATGCCCTCGACACTGTCTTCCTTCTATTTTAGCCTTCTGTGTGTTGGAATATCATGTACATTATCTTTCTGATAATACGCAGCATATCTCATGTACCACAATGGTGATGTTAAAAACATTACATATTATTATTCCCAAAGATCATGTCAGAATATATAATGAGTGATAAAAATGTCCAGATCTTGATTACTTCCCACTTCTAAAACAATTCTGATCTCATCTTCATTCTCTATTTCAATTTCTTTAAATTTCCTCTTTCTAAAAGCTTACTATATATGATAACCAGTGTATATATTTGCTATTGCATTTCCAATACTACCATACCTAAGGCATATTTACTAAACAGATACAGGACTTCCCAATGTTAGCAGTTTTAATCATAAGCCCCCAACAGGACTTTCCCATAGGATCTGTAGACTGCAAAATACATAACTGAAATACAAAAGCATGTTCTGTCAGATAAATGTCCTTATTTTAAAAATCAAAACAGCCTCAAATGTAAAATTCTGTTTCAAATAACATTTTAAGTCTTCAACAATTCCAGTTCTGTTTGATTATAAATGTACGTGAACAATCAAATTTGGGGTCAAAATATCTTACAATGTATTCCATTCAAAGTATACCCATGTCTTAACTTGGTAATGTGAATTAAATCATAGACATGATTTCTTTGTTATACCAAATTCTTCCCTCAAAAGATACATCACTTTCTATACTTATGATTACATCTATATTTCTAAAAAATAAATTCCAAGAATAATTCTAACACATTTAAAAAAAAATTAAATGCTTAAGGAATTCAGTAACACTACAGGCAAAAGGTAAACTATAGGGCCAGGGATTTTAGCTCAGTGGTTCCGGCAACTGCCTTGCAAGTGCAAGGTCCTGAGTTTGATCCCCAGTACCAAAAAAAAAAAAAGGTAAACTATCTTATCATACTCCACAATGCGACACTTCATTCCTAAGTATTTAAAGTTGCATTACAATAATCTTTATATAGAGCTAATAGGATTTATATTCATATAATTTGTTATAAATAGTTAAGAAAATATCTAAGGACAAACAAAAATCAGGCTATGACTATTCATTTCCAAGTTTAAAAATAAAAATGACAACCAGAAAAATAAAAAGATCTACTCTGTGAAAAAAATACTTCTATATTATTTTAGTTCATAAAATAAGCAAATGCTAAAAATAGTATGTTAGAATGAGTAGAGCATAATAAATCATTTTCATGATATATATATATAAGCAATAAAGATGATCAGTAAAATACAAAAGTGGGCACTACAGTCAATTTGCAAAAAATAGCATATATGAGACAGAGGATTCGCCTCTTCACTAAGCCTACTGTGCTTAAATCTGTAACAGTCTTCCTCTCTCTCAAAACAGTAGACATCCTACAAAGCTTATTCATTAGAGAGCTCTTACATATCAGGGGTTTAGTAAGAAAACTAATTTTACATTGCATCATAAATTCTGAGGAGGCATTTTCTAGAAATTCACATAGTCTACAAATGAGTATCATTAAGAGATTTCAGGCAGAAAATGGAGTAGCTGAAAATCAGTAGGCAAGTTCTGCTTTTGCACTAGATGTCACTACTGACAAAAGTATTACAAACGTCCAGATAAACCACACACACTTCTTTAGAATGACAGAATATCTGCTAATGCAAAGGAATAAAAAGAATTAAAACAGGAAGAAGCCACTTTCATGTGGCGGACCATATGCTGGGCTTGAGAAATAGAACCACCATTTGTGCTAGGCAGGAGGAAGAAACTAGACGGACTTTGGAAGCATTTGTTCCTCTAGGACAGCGATGGCTAATCTTTTAGAGACTAAGTGCCCAAACTGCAATCCAAAACCCACTTATTTATTGCAAAGTGCCAACGCTACAATTAAAGTGGAATGCTCAGCTGCTGAGGTGATGCTGGGGTGACCTGGATTACAGGCCGATAAAAAATGGCTCCGCTGCTTGCTGAGGCGCGTGCCATGGGTTTGCTACCACTGCTCTGGGAGAGGAGGTCCTCCAGCCCAAGGGCCTCAAGGAGGTGATTAGCAGGTGTAGGAAGTTGGGGCAGGAGGTATTTGCAGGAAGCAGGTACAAAGTATCACCTGCTTCCTCAGGTTCTTTATGCTAATTAAGCAGAAGGCTGAAGTAGCTGGAGAGAGTGCAGTAAGGGTCTACTGAGCATCAGAAAGAACAGAGTATGGCTGGCTGAAAAGTCAAACAAAAACTCGCTGTCCTGGGCAGAAAAGAGCTTTGGGCCTCAGACCCTCCGTCAATACTAAGTAGGAGCCTTCACTACTGGAGGGCCAGGAAATCTGCCTAAGGTCAGCTGCAGGAAAAAGGCTCCATTTGGCTGTCAAAGGGAAGGCAAGCAGGAATGCTGAGCCCCCAACACTCTCTTTGTAGTACAGGTGTGTGGGGACAGCTGAAAGCTTAGTTGTGAAGGGTGATATTCAGGAAACACTAGCACGCCAACACTAAGCATCAGACATTTACAGCCCAGCACTACAGGAATCTGAAGCCTGTCATCCACAGAAGGTAGAAAAATTCAAGTCCAGCTCAGTTCCTGACTAGACGGATTCAACCCCACCCACTAACAGCCCAACATAAGAAGAGGCAAGCCCATTCAGAGGTATAAATACTCTTTACCTCAATGCACCTAATATTTACATTGTTTGGTATTCAATAAAAAATTGTAAGACTGATACACATACAACACTCCACCCCAAGCAACTCATCATCAAGAAAGTAATTAACAGAAGTAGACTCACACATGATCCAGATTTTGGAATTATCAGGCAGGGATTTACAAACGGCTAGCATTAAAATGTTAAAGAATCTAGGGAAAAAAATGAACTTGAATGAGTACATGGGAAGTTTTAGTAGAGAGACAGGAACTATGGAAGTACTTACAATTAAAAAGATAATATCAAAGATAAAGATTCCTTTGGTGAGCTCATGAGATCTGATGTTGCTAAGGACACATCAATGAACTGGAAGGAAAGTCAACAGAATTTACCCAAGCTAAAACAAAGAGAAAATACTATGGGAGGAGAGGGAAGAGAACATTCAAAAGTTGTAGGACATTATCAAAAGGTCTAACATACATATAATTGAAGTCTAAGCAAGACGGAGAAAATGGGGTCAAAAATATTTGAAGAGATAATGACAGAGAACTTTCCAAAATATAACAAAAGATATCAAACACAGATCCAAGAACCCCAAGTAAGATACTCCTCCAACTCAGTATCTAGCATATCACAGTGAAATGGTTAAAAAGTAAATGTATAGCAAAAATCACACAGGCACCTATAAAATATGTGAATGACATACAAGAACTGCTTTTCGAAAACTAACCTACAATGTCAGAATACAGGCAGCAATCAGATTTTTGTAGGAGGTGGAGGTGGGGAGGAATGATGAGCTATGTACAAGTTCCAAGTGTCCATGAAGAATGTAATCATTACGTACTGCAAACATGTAGTAATAAAAATTAAAGAAAGCATAGAGTAGAGAATGGGGAAACAGTAATGTTACATGGTAAATGCTATGTTGGTCAGATAATCACTATTAGCTTCCCAGTGATGTCATACTGACAGCCTGTATCCCAGATGAGACAAGCATGGCTCTTCACCTCTGTGGAAGTCATCCCCCAAAGCCATAACCCTAGTCTGGTCATGAGAAAAACATCAGACAAACTAAAACAGAGGGACATTTTGCAAAACACTTGGCCCATTCTCCAAGACTGTTAAGGTCATGGGGAAAAAAAAACCCTGAGAAACTGTCAGAGACCAGAAGAGACTAATAGGCCATGATGACTAAATGTAATGTGGTATCCTGAATGGCATTCTGGAATAGAAAAAAAAAGCATTAATGGAAAAAATGGTGGAATCCAAGTGAAGTGTGGAGGTTAGTTAATAGGAATAGTCTACGGGGGGGTTCCTTAGTTTTGACAGGTGTACCAAGGGATGTCAGTGTTAGAAGAAATTATGTGAAGGATGGGCAGGATCCCTCTACACTATACCATTTCCCTGTAAATTTACCAATTAGTCCAAAACAGTTTATAAAACAACAAACAAGTAACTGAAATAACAAGTCCAGGAAAAAGGAGACCAAGGGGATATTCAAACCTGTGTCTGCTTCTTTCCTCTTACTGTGAGGAGCACAACTCCTGTCGCTCAGCTTCCTTGCTGGTATTGTACAGCCGGAAGCCTCCCCCTACATAAGCTCACTGCTCTGAAGGGCCGACAAGCTGTCTGTCCCTTCACACAGCAGCACTGCACTACTGTGCTCCATTTTCCAGAAACCACACAGCTGGAAGAAACGTTCAGTGTTTTCCTATACCAGATGGGTAATGGTATTTTAGTTTCAGATTGTTAAAGACAAATGTTCTAATTTATTTTTTAATCATATTTTTGTAAGTTTCAAATTTTGTTGCCCTTTACAAAAAATGTGGAGGGCTTTGATGTACATTTTAAGTCAGAGGTAAGGATCATTTAACAACACAGTCAGTCTGCACTAAGATGAACACTGATGAGGCTAGCTTTCCAAACTTAGATAGTGTTTTTAATTATTGCCTT